TTATGATTAGTTATGCTGCATAGGCATCTTGTATGAATAATGACATGTATAGTAAAAGTCCTCTTGGAGTTGTACAAAGGGCTGTGGAGTAGGTACTCAAAACACTCTGACTCCTTGATTTCTTGTGTATCAAACTCCGACTTAGACTCCAACCCCTATATATGATAATAATAATAATAGTAATAATAAAATGGATTTCATAATAATTACAGGCTACCTTTAAACCCCACCTCCTTAAAAGGTTTGAGTCAAATGGTTATAGCTAAGCCTTATATTATATATTCTTAAAAAAAAGTCATGCTTTAAAAAATACATATAGGACTGTGGCAAAATGAAAATTATATGATTTCTCATTCTCTTGGGAGGAAATAAAATGTCTAGCATGTTTAAAAAGTGGGATTTTTGCGATTTATGTTGAGGTCAGAGTCAAGACATATTTACTGACTCTGACTCCGGCTCCACAACACCATATTACTTCCAGCTCTGACTCCACAGTCCTGGTTGTACCAAATTTAAAGGTTTCCACTCTGCACTGTTTGCTACAAACTCAATATTTTGATAGGTGTATACTTCACCATAGACAATAATATGTTACTTTGGGGGTGGAAATGTATGTGGAAATGTACATGTATACATAGTAGTTTTGACTAAATTAATTATTTTTTAGAAGACACACATTTAATTGATATGAAAATTGTAATTGTAATATATTTCCTATAGTAGCAAGTTGAACATTGCTTTAGAAATAATAGAGATGGAATTATATATGTAGCTAAATATCTATTTGTGTGTTTTTAATATTTTTTTTTTTTATAACAAGCTGTACATTATAGATGGAATTATTTTAGTTTGCAAGTGTGATGTTTTGTAGTTTAGTCATGTAAACTTGTCATATTTATGTATGTGTGATGAGAGACCCTTGTTTTGCAGGTGTTGGTTACTAGTAATGCAGTTGTAAGGTTATGGTGGTGGTGCTGGAGGTCGGTTGTGGTGAAACCATGGGCTTGTATTTGTGTGGCGCTGGGTGCCAGTGACCAGGGACATGCCGAGCATCCATGAGACTATTGAGTCTGATGAGAGCTTCTCTTCTCTCTCTGACGCTGAACAAGAAGAAGGCCAGGACCATGACCAACAGCCAAGCCACAGCACTGCCACTGTCTCTCCAACAGTGAGGAGGCCAAAGAATCATCACCGAGAAAAAGATAAAGAAGAAGCACAACAGGGAGGATCTCGGGGATCCCCCCGAGACTCCAGTAATCCCCGGGAGCCTCGGGCTCTTGTTGAATATTCTGACGTAAGTTCAGAAGAATTCTCAGAGCCAGAGGCTGGTGAGATCACAGATAGTCCTAGTCAGAGCCCTGTTATAAGCCCTCGGTACGGTCGCCAGCGTCCTCGATCACCAGCTCGGTCGGCAAGACCTAGTCCCCGTCACAGCCCTGCCCCAGCTACCTACGGTACCAGCCTAAGCCGAAGTCCATCCTACGCTCCCAGATCAACACCTCCAAGACCCCCTCGTGAGCCACTACACAGTGACGGAGAAGTTGGAGCATCTCCTACGTCTTCACATCACACGCCCCTAAGCTCCAGACCTCTGGTACCATATCCAGTGGTCATGTCCCCTGACCGTCGTACTTTAGATACTCGTGGGGAGTACTATCGTTCTAGGGATCCGTATCATCATGCACGCACACCATCTGAGTCAGAAAGAGATCATTCTCGTATTCGTAAGAAGGAACACAAAAAAGAAAAGAAGAGAAAACATGAAAAGAAACGTAAAAGATCTGAGAGATCTCATAGTCCAGTTTTGCACAAGAAAAAGAAAAAGAAAAGTAAACACAAATCTCGTAGTGGAAGTCCAGAATTTGAAGAGGAAGGTGTAGGTGATGGTAGTGTTAGTTCCGAAGATGACATGTCAGAACCAATTGTAGTTAAATGTGTTCCTAGAGTTGCTCCTAGTCATGACCCTAGATCAGCAGGTGCACCATCTAGGCCAAGGAATCGTGGTGAGGAACCCAGTCCAGTTAGTTCTCATGATGATGAAGTTATACATACTCCACCACAACCTGTTCCTGAAACAAATCATACTCGTAGCAATGAGCTTCGGAGAACACCACCACATATTGCTCATCATAGATCCAGAGAGCGCACTCCTACTCATAGGTCACCACACAGATCACCACATACGCCCAGCCCGCCTCGCCACCGTAGTGCTCGACATGCTACCCCACCTCCACCGCCTCAGCCTCCATCTGCAAGCAAGAGTTATGACCGCTCTGGCCGAAGTCATCATGTAAGTCCCCGCAGACCATCAACACCCCCTCTTCCAAGTCAGAGGCGAGGCAATATGACTCCACCACCCAGAAACTCTCCGAGAAGGGCAGCTCCCCATCGAGGCCATACCCCACCTCCACCTTACGGCAGGAAGCGCTCCAGGTCTTGCAGTCCAGTTCAATATGTAGAGACTCCACCTCACACCAGCAGCAGATATTATGGAGTTGCATCAAGCTCTCGCAAAGAGGAGAAGAAGAAAAAGAAAAAGGACAAAGACAGGGAGTATCATTCTCATGGAAGGAGAAGCAGAAGCAGGAGTCGCAGCCCAAGTAGAAGTCGCAGCAGAAGCCGTGGCCAATCACCAAGGTAAATGTGGTTTATCTTATGCTTTAACTGGGTGTGCATGTGTGTGTGTGTTGGGCCTGTCTGATTGTTGGTCTGGGTGTGTGTGTGTGTGTTTGAGTTTGTTAGTGTGTGTTCTTTATAATTTGTTTGTAAAATTATGTTGGTAGTTTTCTTCCCTTTTTATTCTGTTTTTTTTGCTTACTTTTGTGTTTGTATTCTTTGCTTGCTTTAAATCTTCATAACCAACTTACATTATTCTAACTGCTCTTTGCTAATATTTTTTTTGTCAACATTTTTTCTTTCTACTTTGGCAGATGTTGTATGTGAAGTGCATGCTAATGTTTAGTGTATAAGCATATGCACTAAAACCTACCTTCTACTAATGTGGTTTTGGGTACTATACTGTGCTAGATTAACAACTTCTTCACCAGGTGCACAAGTGGCTCTGTATTTGTGCATTCTTGAAAGATGTAACATTTCTTCCTTTATTTTGAAATTTATCATTTCAAAGTAAGATATTGCATTAATAGGCAAAAAAAGATTATTTGTATACACCTCTTTGAATAGATAGAAAATAACTATGCTTGTAATATGTTAATTTTAATATAGAACTATATTATTAATCCATAGAAAAAATATGATGTACTTTTTGACAAGGTTACATTATATTTTTTCTTAGTAAGCAACATAGCAGTTGTGTTGTTTAATGATAATCTCTGAATAGTTCTTTGTCATTTTTTATATTCTGTTAGTCTTTTCTATCTGTATTTGTTTCTTTTCTGCTGATGCTAATATGTATATTTTTTATGCCTTTTTAATTTATTATGATTACTATTTTTACTACTACTACTACTACTATTAATACTATTAATACTAATACTAATACTAATACTGTTATTATTATCTTCTTCATAATACTCTTGACTTTTCACATTAATATTATCATGATAGTTTCTTTTGGTTTTATTTCTAATAGTATACTTAGCATAAAAAATATATATATATATTTTTTCAGTCAGCATTTTTAAAATGTTCATTAACCCATTGCGTCTGGATGATGTGTAGTTCACACCATGGCTGACTTCGTTGTAGCTCCAGATGACAAGTAATTCCTGTCATGGCTGACTCAATTGTAGCTCAGGATGACATGTAGTTCCCGTCATAGCTGAATTGCTTGTGGCTATGCAGGTCAATCATGTTGCTACTATGATGCATGCATTACATGTTATGCCTTTCTTTATAAGTTACCTACACACTCAGGGGCATTGCCTGAGGGAGAATAAGACATGTAAAGCTCTGATTGGCTATTGTATTTTTTTTATGAAAGGGGTGTTTTAATCGCATACAATCTCTTATTTTGTAAGAATAAGATATGTAAAAATGAAAGAAATTCCAGTTTTTATCCCACAGTAAAACCATCTTTTACAGTGTGTAGCATACATAATGTATGGAAATGAACAAACAAACAAAAGGAAATCATATTGCTTTGTTGGTATGGTGTGATGTGTGCAAAATATTGCTTTAGTCTAGAATATGCCCAGGAGTCAAACCAAGCTGGCTGTAATTCTCCTAGAAGGAGAGGCAAAGTACACCCCAGATTCTCCTGGAGGCAATGGGTTAATATTTTGCATGCATGTGACATTATTAGCTATCAGTTAATATGAATCAACATAAAATGAACAACTACAAATAACTGTAATTACTTATTTTTTTCTTTCTTCCTTCCTTCCTTTCCTCCCCCCCCCCCCCAACTTATCCTTTGCTGATGACAATTAACTAGGCGAAGGCGTTCAAGAAGTGGGAACTATTAATACTATTAATACTATTAATACTATTAATACTATTAATACTATTAATACTATTAATACTATTAATACTATTAATACTATTAATACTATTAATACTATTAATATTATTAATATTATTAATATTATTAATACTATTAATACTATTAATACTATTAATACTATTAATACTATTAATACTATTAATACTATTAATACTATTAATATTATTAATATTATCAATACTATTAATATTATTAATATTATTAATACTATTAATACTATTAATACTATTAATACTATTAATACTATTAATACTATTAATACTATTAATATTATTAATACTATTAATACTATTAATACTATTAATACTATTAATACTATTAATACTATTAATACTATTAATACTATTAATACTATTAATACTATTAATACTATTAATACTATTAATACTATTAATACTATTAATACTATTAATACTATTAATACTATTAATACTATTAATACTATTAATACTATTAATACTATTAATACTATTAATACTATTAATACTATTAATACTATTAATACTATTAATACTATTAATACTATTAATACTATTAATACTAATAATAATATTAATACTAATACTAATACTAATACTAATACTAATACTAATACTAATACTAATACTAATACTAATACTAATACTAATACTAATACTAATACTAATACTAATACTAATATTAATACTAATACTAATACTAATATTAATACTAATACTAATACTAATACTAATACTAATACTAATACTAATACTAATACTAATACTAATACTAATACTAATACTAATACTAATACTAATACTAATACTAATACTAATACTAATACTAATACTAATACTACTACTACTACTACTACTATTAATACTATTAATACTAATACTAATACTAATACTGTTATTATTATCTTCTTCATAATACTCTTGACTTTTCACATTAATATTATCATGATAGTTTCTTTTGGTTTTATTTCTAATAGTATACTTAGCATAAAAAATATATATATATATTTTTTCAGTCAGCATTTTTAAAATGTTCATTAACCCATTGCGTCTGGATGATGTGTAGTTCACACCATGGCTGACTTCGTTGTAGCTCCAGATGACAAGTAATTCCTGTCATGGCTGACTCAATTGTAGCTCAGGATGACATGTAGTTCCCGTCATAGCTGAATTGCTTGTGGCTATGCAGGTCAATCATGTTATGTTACTATGATGCATGCATTACATGTTATGCCTTTCTTTATAAGTTACCTACACACTCAGGGGCATTGCCTGAGGGAGAATAAGACATGTAAAGCTCTGATTGGCTATTGTATTTTTTTTATGAAAGGGGTGTTTTAATCGCATACAATCTCTTATTTTGTAAGAATAAGATATGTAAAAATGAAAGAAATTCCAGTTTTTATCCCACAGTAAAACCATCTTTTACAGTGTGTAGCATACATAATGTATGGAAATGAACAAACAAACAAAAGGAAATCATATTGCTTTGTTGGTATGGTGTGATGTGTGCAAAATATTGCTTTAGTCTAGAATATGCCCAGGAGTCAAACCAAGCTGGCTGTAATTCTCCTAGAAGGAGAGGCAAAGTACACCCCAGATTCTCCTGGAGGCAATGGGTTAATATTTTGCATGCATGTGACATTATTAGCTATCAGTTAATATGAATCAACATAAAATGAACAACTACAAATAACTGTAATTACTTATTTTTTTCTTTCTTCCTTCCTTCCTTTCCTACCCCCCCCCCCAACTTATCCTTTGCTGATGACAATTAACTAGGCGAAGGCGTTCAAGAAGTGGAAGTCGGAGTCCTGGACGTAGACGTGGTGACAGGAGCCATAGACGATCATCCCCAGGACGTGGTGGAACACGACATACACCTCCACGTCGCACACCACCCCGTGCTGCAGCTGATCGCCTGGCACATGAGAACAACATGAGTTCGACAAGCCTTTTTGCTGAATTAGTCAAGAGTAGGAAGAATAGAGAACGCATCAAACAGTTAATGACAAAGGAAGGCGAAAAGCCAGAGAAAGGAAAAGAAAATGTTGAACCAGAAGGCGGTGGTTCTGCTTCTGGACCAGATACCCCTGGACCCACAGCATCAGCAGCAAGTATTCCTAATGGTGCTGCTAAAAATGACACAAATGCTGCAGTGGACCAGGAAGAAATATCTAATCCATCATCCCATTCAGAACAAGAAAGTGCCAGTAATTCTGTAATTAAAATAGACTTTAAGAAAGTGTCTGTGCCAACAAGCTTGACTAAGCTGCCAATGCCACCAGGGATCAACCTTGAAGACATTGATTCTCCAACTTCTCCAAGCACACCGCCTGAGTCCAAGCCTGCAAGACTTAGTATTACCAAGGACCTCCCAATGCCTCCAAGTAAGTCAGAAGAGCATAAAGTATTTGTCCATTTGATAGTCTTAAACCTACTCTAGCATAATTGTGATGGATGGATATTCTCATATATATTTCATGTGTGTGCTGTTTCAAAAAAGGATATTTGATTTAAATCATTAGCAATGGGTTACATATGGTCAACTTAGGGGGGGAATAATCATAGACACTAGATAAGGCTCATGATTGTATATTATGTATGCTGGAATTAATTTTTGTGCCAGACAACCACTCAGATGCAGAGCTCCCATTCTTACCCATTATTATTGCATTACATACCATCCTAACAAATTCCTGTTTCCTTTTTAAGGTTCATTGCAGTTTGATTAAGTCAGAAGCAGAAATTTGAACAAAGAATGATGCATGTGTTTATAGAGAAGTTGCTATATCTTGTTCTTTTAATTCTTTTTCAGTGATAGAAGGAACTGAAGAATTGTCACCAGATGATGATGCAATGAGTACACCACCACTTGCAAGAAGTGGCCCACCTAAACCTCGTCCTAATTTGGTCAGGCCAAAAATCCTGAATGCAAAACGACAAGACCGTACCTGTCTTGAAGACTGGAGTGAAAGATGTGTTGAAGTCTTTGATATAATAGCCCAGATTGGAGAGGGTACCTATGGGCAAGTGTACAAGGCAAGGGCAAAGGATAAGAAGAGTAAGTATTGCCAGTTTTCCTCAAAAGTAATGTCAGTACTCAGACAAATAAACTCTTATATGATCACTAATAGAGCTATATTAGTTTCCTTAGTAGAATCAATTATTTGCTTTTCTCCCCAGATGATGAAATGGTTGCCTTGAAAAAAGTAAGGTTAGAGAACGAGAAAGAAGGTTTCCCTATTACTGCTGTACGAGAAATCAAGATCTTGAAGCAGCTGAATCACAAGAATATTGTAAATTTAAAGGAAATAGTAACAGACAAGCAAGATGCTGTTGATTTCCGACATGTACGTTGTCCTTTTTGTGCATTTTCTGTTTGCGTTATAAACAGTAAATTATGTTTTCTTGTTTTTACCTGGGAACTGTTCAACACTAAAGGTTAAGAGTGCTTGTATGAATTTGTAAGGCAGATTCATGATTTTCTTATATTGTGATTTACTAATTTGGTTTATTTTTGCAGGACAAGGGTTCATTTTACTTAGTTTTTGAATACATGGACCATGACTTGATGGGACTGTTGGAATCTGGCATGGTAGAGTTCACAGAACAGCACAATGCCTCTATTATGAAGCAGCTTCTGAATGGTCTTAGCTATTGCCACAAGAAGAATTTTCTTCACAGGGACATTAAATGTAGCAATATTCTAATGAACAACAAGTAAGTGCACATTTTGGTTTTAGTATTCATTCCCATAAACAGAAAGTAGATTTTCTTCCCAAGTAAATGTTGTATTTTAGGGTATTTATCTGTTGTATTTATTTTTTTTCCAGAGGTCAAATCAAACTGGGTGATTTTGGTCTTGCAAGATTATTTAGTTCAAACAAAGAACGTCCATACACAAACAAGGTTATTACTTTGTGGTACCGCCCACCGGAGTTGCTCCTTGGAGAAGAACGTTATGGCCCAGCAATAGATGTGTGGTCCTGTGGATGTATCCTAGGAGAATTATTCCAAAAGAGACCACTCTTTCAGGTTGGCTTTGAAATTGGTCTCACTATTTTAACTACATCTTTATTTTGAAAAAGTAGTAGACTTCATATGGTCATATTATATTATGGTGATCTTTTTTCCCTTTATTCATGAAATTGAAATAAGGAACTAGAGTTCTGCTCAACATTTATAAGAATTTTTGTAACCTCTTTTTCTAATACACCCAGGCTAGCACAGAAGCTATGCAACTAGATGTAATATCACGAGTTTGTGGAACACCATCGCCAGCTGATTGGCCTGATATTGTGAAACTTCCTGGATGGGGCACAATGAAGCCTAAAAAAACCTACCGTAGAAGAATAGTGGATGACTTTAGAGACAAGATGCCCACACCAGCCTTGGATCTTTTAGACCAAATGTTGAAGCTAGACCCCTCCAAGAGGATCAGTGCTGAGAATGCCTTGAATGGAGGTTGGCTTAAAAGTGTTGATCCTGAGCTGTAAGTATCTGTTATATTTGATTCTGCAAATTTGTGAACATATAGTTTATATGGAAAAGTGTGTTTGATGATTAAATGTGCAAAATAAGCAACTTTAAAGTTCACGTTAGTCCATGTAATAGGCATCTGCTGATGGGAATAGAGTGAGGAATTGGAGTTGCTTCTTAATTAAGTTATTAGTTATTAGACTATTCTTTGTTATCGCTGTTGCCACAAGTCGATGCTGTTCATTAGAACAAACATTTACATCATTAGAGAGACTCTATGAAGATGAATGATTGCAGTAATATATACAGCTACCTACTGCAACAAGTAATTTGGGCTTCCATACATTTGCTGTCATTGCATTAGCTCAGAAGGCATGTAGCAGCATTGGTATTTACAGATAGGAAATTGCTGTGCATGTGTAAGAAACAGATCAGTTATGGTTAATAATAAATGAGATGGGCCTACAAAGTCTGTAACAATGTAAATGTTTGTTCTAATTAGCAGCATTAACTTCGAGTTGTGGCAACACCACAGATCATAGTGAATACTACACTACACCTGGTTCCTGAGCTACTTCTGGCTGCCCAGCTTCCCATTTTAGTTTCATTATGATTACACTCTCCAAGGCTTGGCACACCTAGGCTGGCTTCAAACCGTTTTTAAAGATTTTATCTGTGTAATAATATTCAACAAATTTCCAACTTGCTACATACTATAGTTTATCACAGCCCTCAAAAAACAGCAGTATATGAGCAAAGAGTACTTTAGATATGTCTCCCCCTAGTTCCCCAGATAGTAGGCCTAAGCCTTGCCAAAAGGGAGATAATCCCTAACTTAGTCTGGTCCAGGGAGTCAGAAGGCTAATGTGGAACCTTGCCTGAGATAAGAAGAGATTTTCTTGGTTATAAATAATTCTTGTAAATGATTTCACAGCATGGAACCACCACCATTACCCAAGTACCAAGATTGCCATGAATTATGGAGCAAGAGAAGAAGACGTCAGTTGAAGGAGCAGCAAGAAGCTGCATTAGGTGTTGGACCACCAGGCCTTCCTGGAAAAGGAATGGGCATTGGAGTTGGTCCGCCTGGTTATTCTGGGGTTCATAAGGATCAGCGCTCAATGTATAGAGGCGGCCCTGAAGATGGTAACCTTGATGGCAGACGATATGACTCCAATAGTGGAGAGGGCTACTTAAATAATAGCTTGCCTACCTCTCGTAGTAATTCCCCTGGACCCCCATCATTACATTACCAGAGCCAGGGGTCACATACACCACCTGGAACAGGGGCAGGAGATAGTCTGACTCCACCACAAGCAGGTCACCGTTATAATACTCCTCCAGTGACACATGATGAGGGTCATCCTCTTTACCGACCACTCTACCACATAGCTCACCTAATAAATACAAGACAAACTGTTGTATTTGGTCAGTTAGCAGCACTAATGAGTGACCAAGTAAGTTGTGTGTACAGTTATTTGTTTTACAAATTGCCATGTAATTATTTTCATATTAAATATATTTTGTTAAAGCTTGAAGATTAGAAATTATTATGACAAAACTTGTATTCTGTATATAGTTCCATTTTCAGGTAGGAACTGAAATGTTTCAGATTCAGGATGTTATATTAATCCAATGATACTAGAAGGGCATGTATACATGCTATTCCCACTTTGATTTTGTTTAATTAATTTCTGTTTACACATATATACCTCCACAATAACTGACAAAGTCTTTTATTTTCATATCTAGTAGTATTGTTGGTAATGTTATAAAAATTATAATGTCTGTACTGATGATAATAGTATCACATAAAATGGGTATGGTCAGTAAGGCTCATTGGTGACAGAACTTGCAATTGCAATTTTGTTTACATAGATGGCTCTATTATAGTAAAGTGGATGGTGCATGTACCTTTTTTCTTCGCTCGCAAAAGTCATAGAAACCATTTTTAGGTTTATTGGCTTATATATAACTAGAATTTAATATCCTTGTATAGGCTGTTAGAAGGAATTATTAGACATTATTGATGATAATACACTATTACTAAATTCATATTGTTAATGAGTTGCCTTTAACTTGACTTCTTATAGCTGGATTTGGGCATTCGTCGCCTCCTTGAACGTCTAAATGCAGCAGTCCTATTAGCTGCCACAACGAGAGAGAGAAGACTACGAGGAGATAGTAACTCGCTTGAAGTAAAAGATGTGTCTTTAGAACCAAATGAGCCTATTATCACTCCTGCTGGTGAGTATTTGCTTGTTCTAGGGGTTATTGTATATTTGATCTAGTTGGCAAGCAAAGAATATAACAGTGGGTAATCTCCCATTCGTATTTTTAGATTAACTTAAGAGGACTTGACTAAAGAACAGCTTTCATTATTACAGGATTGTTTGGAGGAGATGGAGAAATGGGGCTTTTATCAGAGGGTGTTCGTGAGGCTTTGGTGCAGCTGATGGCACTCTTCAATATTCCTGTCTCTGGCTTGACTCCAGGACCTATGCCCCCACTTAGAGGTCAGACAGGTCCTCACCCTGACCACAGCCACCGATACAATAACTCAGGTCGTGTTACATGACCGTCTTCCCCCAAGTTTTAGGATGTCACTCAAGGCTCAGGTTTGGTAAATAATGAACTGATTAATAGATTGTTTATAGTAAAAATAAAATTTTAAGTTGAAAGTGAAATTTTAAGTTGATTTATGTCCATTACAAGGTATTTCATATGTATAGCTGATGTAAGATTGTTTATAGTAAATATGAAATTTTAAGTTGATTTATGTCCATTACCAAGTATTTCATATGTATAGCAGAAGATGTAAATGGATTAAAGATGGAACACCATAAGAAATAGGGATGTCATTAATTGGTTGGTATATATTTGCTGTGAGGCATTGAAGCTTTACTGCACCCAACCAAGTACCCCTTCTCAATTCCTCTTCCCTTCTGCTTAATTGTGTTGTGCCACAACCACCTGAACAGCCATCACTGATACCTAAAGGAGTGATGGAGTGTGTAAAGTTGATAGCAAAAGACCTTGCTTTTATGGGCATTCAGGAAACATTGATGTGAAATTACTTATATGAGGATTGAGAAGGTTACAGAAGAATTGTTCCATTCTGAGCAAGGACAGCAGGTTAGTGGTGAGTGACATAACCTCTCCTATGCATTGGTTACAGTCACAGGAGATACTGTCATAACATTCCGTAAAGCCTTCAAGTTTCATTTGTGAAAAATGATAATGACCAAATACTTCAACAGTTTATGAGTGAGCTTGAGTGGTGTTGACCTTTAGTGTCTTGTAGGACATCACTGCTGTCCTGGAACAAATGGTCTGATGCCAGGCAATGACACTTGTCAGGCTGTTCAATCTGTGATGTGTATTATAACTGTAAAAATAAATTATGCACCTCCTTTATTCTGCAGTTCCTCAGTTTTAGCTGTTTTGATCCTGAGGTGTGCAGGTTGTTACTGCAAGTTCTGTAGAATTACCGAGATTTTTTTGTCTATAGTCCATGGTGTACCATTGGTTTGTAATGGTAACTTTTGTATAAATAAAATGAATGTAAAATAAAAGTCTTTCAATTAACTTCATAAAATTCTTCAAAATCTGACTTCGCAAGCCTCTGACATATATATCACTGATTTGTAAATATCTTGTCTTTATCATTTCGACTGTTTCAGAGTATTGTTATATTAAATTTTTAACTGTATCAAAATGTTCCAAATACAAATACAAGCTTGTTCTAGTGTCTTCTTGTCTTCAGAAAGGCGCTGAACTGGTTTTGACTTGGTGTACTTAAAACCTTCCAATATCTTACCACCTCCAAAATTACTGTTAAAGTACATGAAACATTCCTCAGCTATAAGCCCATCACAACTATGTTAAAATAGATATATGTTTTATGTATGTTTAGTAATTAGTAATATTTAATTGCAGATGTCTTTGTTACTTATTAATAAGGGAACATAAAAGTATAAAGTGATGATTTATAATTTGGTTACATTCTTGCAAATTTGAAGGAACTAGCTGAAAACCTGCAAGTAATATCAAGCAAATTAGATGAATGATTAATTAAAAATATATATATGTAGCCATTACAAAGCTCTCAGTGGATTAACACCATGCACAAGCTAACAGCCTGCCTCTTGAAAGGAAAATTATGAAGAAAAAACTATGAAGGATTCGGAACCACCCCTGGAGGATAAGAGTTCAGGGACTTATATACAGGATCAGGGGGGAAGTATCGGGTGTATATCCAGGAGGAAGTGGAAGGAATAATGGGGGAGGAAGGGAGGTTGGTGCAGATGAAGCAGGAGGGATGGGGTGTGTTGGGAGGGAGTGGGAGGAAGGGTTGTAGGGGGAATGTGTAGGAGGAGTAGGCACTCAGAAAATGGTACAGATTGGAGTGTGGATTTAGAATGGCAAAAGAATTTGACTTGGAGAGGGAGGGGGTAGAAATGGGAACGTAAAGAGTGGGAGGAAGAAATACTGGGAGAGATGTAGAATCATTTTTGGAGGAAGGGGTAAAGCAGAGTGAAGGACAACACTTGAGTAGGGAGCATAAGAGAAACCTTGTTGGTATAATTCCTTTCTGCCCTTGCATAAAGTGAAGCCAAGTTTAAATCTAAGAACTGCCACCTCAGACTCAAACTTGTAGGTAGAACAGCCCGTATAAAAAACATTCTGGGAGCCACCACAATTGGCACACCTGTGTGATTGTGTAGAACTGTGTGAATGATCATGACCAGACTGGGTGCATAGAGGGCAGCAGGCAGCATAGAGTGACAGTGTCTCGTAGGGTAGCCAAGATGCCAACATTTCTGATAGGGAAAGGTTTGGTATGGTTGGACAGGGCAGGACTCTCTGCCATTATAAACATTAAAGGGGAAGGTAGTCTACAGACAGTAATTTTGGCAATATTGCTGCAGGACTTACAGTGGCTTATTGGGGTAGTAGTTTAGCACTGTACTGATACTGCATCATAGTCAGCAAGGCAGGTAAGCAAGTTGTTTCCACAGTCTGACCAATCCTTGTTTGTAATCTGTGTGAAATCTGTTAGATCGATGGAGACAGTTCTGGCACAAGTATTAAGGCAGGGGTGAGGCTGGGCAGGAATAGATTTGCTAATGAAGTTAGTCACAGTAGATAATGCACAAGCTTGGGATGAATGGTTAATGGTTAATGGTTAAAAGCAAGATAAATGTGCTAGACATCTAAGGTCATGTAGCACTATAGTTAATGTTAGTGAAGGTTGGTTGAGTTAGTGATTAGTTGTCTAAGCTGGGCAAAGGAATTGGTGAGTGAAAGGGTTAAGGTCGGGTGTTAGATGTAAGAAAGGTTTCTTGAAGGCATACAATAGATGGGTTATAAGAGGAAAGGATATGACAAAGGTCAGGGATGGGCTGTGTTGGGAGGGGGTAGGAGGATAGGGTGTAGGTAGCAATTACTTGGAGTGTGGAAGGAGCAGGAGTTGTAGGTTGAGTGTCAGTTTTCATTAAGTAATCTTGAATATTTTCAATAGTTTCTTCTGTGGAGTTGGTTGGGGAGTTTTTGGGGATAAAGGATTTCTTGTGAGGGGGGGAAGAGAGGACTGGTGTCTCAAGAGTAGGGGCAAAGGATGGTGGGAGTGATTGTGTGGTAGGGGAAGAGGGGGTGGAACGTTTGTTCTGTCTGTTACGGGTAGTGCGAGGAGGGAGAGGGGAAGGTGTTGGGGTTGTAGTGGTGATTGGAGTATCTGTAGTAGAGATTGGAGTGTCTGGATTTAGGATGGCAAAAGAGTTTGACTGGGGAAGGTAGGAGGTAGAAGTGGGGGAGTTAGATGTAGGAGGGGTGGGTTTAGGAGAAGTGTTAGAATGGGCAGTATTACTGGAGTAAGGAATAAGAGAGAATCCACATCGACGTGCTTCCTGTCTGGCTTCACGTAGTGTGAGTCCAAGTTTGAGTCTGAGAGTTGCTACTTCAGATTCAAATTTGTAGGTGGGACAGCCCCTATAAAATACACTATAGGGGCCGCCACAGTTGGCACATGTGCGTGATTGTGCAGAGCAGTTAGATCGGGTATGGCCAGGTTGGGCACATAGTGGGCATCTGGCTGTGGAACGGTAGTGTTTGGCTGGGTGTCCTAGACGCCAACAATTTTGGCACTGACGTGGAGGAGGTTGGTATGGACGAACAGGGAGGGATTCTCCTCCTATGTAGACGTTAAAGGGAAGGTCATGTCTACGGAAGGTAATTTTGGCTATGTTAGTGGGTTTCTTTCGATGACCTCTGGGGGGGATGGAATAGCATTGTACTGATGTTGCATCGTAGTCTGTGAGACAGGCAAGTAGATCTTCTCCACAATCTGACCATTCTTTGTCATAGATTGGGCAATTTGTTGGTGAGATTGAGACTGTTCCGGTGCAAGTATTGAGGGTTGGATGGGGTTCTGCTAGGATGGGGTTACCATATAGGTCAGTTAGTTTTGTTAGTGCTATGGCTTGGTTTTCGGATGTTACTGTTACAAGACGGGAGCGGTCGGGTCGGCTACGGAAAGAGACTTTACCTACTTGTTTTTGGAGGCATTGTTGGAAGAGAAGGGTGTTGTTAGAGTAGGGAGCTGTGGGAGGGATCACGAAAAATCGGTCCCATTTGGCTGCACTAAAGAGAGTATTCAAGATTGTTGTAGAGATAGGGGTGGTAGAAGGGCGGGGGCGTGACAAAGATGGAGTAGTGTTGGGGGAAGTAGTGTTTTGGAGAGGTGGGCATTAAGGCTGTAAGGTATTAATAAGGGAGGATGGGGTGGTTGATGTTGGAGGTTGTGGGGGTAGAGGTGTTGAAGTTGAGCATGCTGGGAGAATGGAAATGTTCCTTGAGGGTTGATTGTTGGCTACTGTACTAGTAGGCATTGATGAAGGGGTAGTTATTGCAGTGTTCGGAGCCGTGGTCAAAAGAGAGCCTGGAGTCAGGGAATCGGGTGGGTTTACTTCGTTGGGGCTATTTGATAAAGGGGCAAGCCTCATTGCCCCTAACAGTGGGGATGTATTTTCATTACTGGCCTGGATTATGTTGGGGATAAAAACAGTCCACCCCTCAGGGTCCCCTTGAGGGGTAAGGGCTAGATAACTAAAATCAGGGGAATACCGTGCCCATGGCTCCCTCAGGCCGTTCAGGACTGGCACAAAGTCAGCCTTTCATCCTTTCAGCACGGCTCTCACACCTTAGGAGGTGGATAGCAGAAGGGTTTGGTGAAGGGACAGAAACAAAAGTGGGAAGGGAAAAAATGACCATGTATAATTAGTTAGAGTCGAAGGCTGAGTCCCAAGGTTGGGGAGTTCCCCATCATTGGGTCCCAGTCTCCACCTCCTAAGTCCCCCCCACGACAACAACGGGCAAGGGATTGGGGGGGAGCTTGGGATGAAACTGTGACTAGGCAAGAACAATTAGCTTCTGTGGGAAACTTTGCCTACTTGTTTTTGGAAGCCATTATTGGAAGAGGAGGGTGTTGTCAAGTAAGGGGTATAGGAGGGATCACAAAAAATGATCCCCCTTCGTTTGTAGAGGTGGAAGTAGTAGCAGGACAAGGATGAGAGGAAGTGGAAGTGATGTTGAATGAGAAAGTACTACAGGGAGGCTGACAATAAGGAGGAAGAATTGTAATTAGGGAGGAGGGGATAGAAAATGAATACTATGGAGGATGAGATGGAGTGGAGGAAGGAATATTTTCTGAAGATTGGGTAATTATATGGGTGAGTAACTTGGAATGGACTGAACTGACAGCAGGAATTGAGGAGGGCTCCCCCAGTCCCTTATTCGATGTTGTGGTAGGGGGCTTAGGAAGCAGAGACAGAGGCCCAATGGAGGGTAACACCCCTACCTCAGCCCTTGCCTCCATTGCTTTTCCTTTATGCTTTTGCTTTGCCTTCTTTTGTCCACTTATCCTAATTGTTAATTAATTTTTACCCTTTTTGCCACAATACTTTGTCATAATGTTGTTTGACTTTTAATGTCTAGCACATTTGTTTGTTTTGATCATTGACCATTCTGGATATCCACAAACATTACCTTATGGCTTTGCCCCAACTTATTGCTTGATTTTGAATATGCTGCTAATGACTTTAGAGTTTGGAACGGCAGAAAATTTTCAATAAGAAATAGATATTGATGAGGGGGTAGAAGTAGCAATGTTCAATGTCTTGATAAAAGGAGAGTCAGGGATCAGGGAATGGGAAGAGTTAGAGTTAGCTGATAGAGTGGCATCCCTCATTGCCCCTGATAATAGTATAAACTCATAAGTGGCCATGGTAGGCCTGAGATATGTGAGAAAGAGAAACCATTCACCTCTCAGGTCCCCATGAGGAAAATGGGCTAGACAACTAAAAGGGGGAATATTGTGCCCATGGGGCCATTCAGGACTGACCCAAAGTTAGCCTTTTATCCTTTTAATATGGCGCTCACATCTTATGAAGTGGAGAGAAGGGGTTGGAGAAGAGAAGAAAAAAGGAAAGCGGTAGAAAAAAAGGCTGTGAAAAATTGGCTCTAACTGGGGCTGAAGCCCAAAGCAGAAGAGATACCCATCCTTGGGTCTCATTCT